TCTTTTCCAACCGAGTGATTCTGTGATTCTGTGATTCAAGGGAAACGGAAAGGCTCTGCTGCAGCCCAAGACGTGCCAAGGCAGTCTCCACCTTTGCCCAGCACCAACTCGATTCCAAGTTATTTATAAGTCATCTGCCCCCCAGCAGTCCTGAGCTGCAAACCACTCACTAACCCAGACCACTTTCTGAGGAAAAAGACTGATGTCCTCTGAAGAGAGTGAGGGATTCAACAGGCTGGTTTTGTAAGTCCCAAACAAGCTTGCAGGTGAAACCTGGTGAGATTTGATGGTAGACAAGAGGAAGGTGGACACTGGACTTCTATCAGATTGTATGTGAAGGTTTGTTCCAGGAATAGAGCTACACACATTTCTTAAAATTATTATGGCTATTTTTAGTCATATCCAGGCCCCTGAAATTTCTGTCTACTTTCTGACAGCTCAGTGTCTTTCTCTAGCCTCCTGCCAGTCCTGTCTCAAACAGAAGACCTGTAATTGTGTTTTTATGAAATGTGATTAAGTCACACAGGAAGGTCACACATGAAAACTACAGCAAAAAAGGAAACCATACTGGATCTTGATTCCTCTCTTGACCATCAGAAAATACGAAGTGAAACTTCCAATCTCAGAAAACAGCCCGGTTTCACAGTCCTTCTGCATTATATGTGCTTTCAGGGTTCAGGAGAGCCAGATGTTTTGCACCAGCCTCTGCTGTCAGTTACTATGGTATGAATCTGTGCTAGCTTCACCAGTTGCAGTTAAATTACTGTATTAAATGTTCTTTGTATTTTCACTAAGATACTAATGGCACTTGCACCTGCTTGCAGAATTTAGCTGAAAAATGGATCCTAAAATTAGTTAGCAAGCTCCACAGTGGGAAAGAACTGCATCCACTTTAATAGCATGCTGACATGTGGTTCCCAGGAGACTGTGTGTTTTGGGGTGGAAAGACCCTCTGGAGGTCACGAAGTTCAATCTCCTTCTCAAAGCGGGGCTGTTGACCAGCAGCGGGTCAGATCAACC